GTTCCTTCGAGAAGCTTCGCCGTCGTCCACGTCGGAGTCGTCGTCGTCGGTCGGCAATGTGGAGGTGAAGTCCAATGTTAGGGCTTCGTCGTTGATTCAGATGTGGAGGGAGATGGAGTCTGAGAGTGGGGCCCCCGCGTTGACGACGAGGGTCGGGGATGAGAAGAGGATGTTAAGGAGTTTTTCGGAGAAAGCGGGAATGATTAGGGTTAGGTGCAGGAGAGAGATGGAGGATTTGGTGGAGAGGATGAAAAAAGAGAGGAAGGAGGAGGTTGGTGAGATTAAGGAGATGAGGAGGGTTTCAAAGTTCTCGCATCGAGGGAGAATTCAGGTGAAATGTTGTTGATTTTTCTTGATTGATTTGGTAAAATTTCCTGTTATTTTGATGCATTGTTTGTAAGTTAAATTTCACATCATCAGGGTAATTCGTGTTTAGCTTTATATTTGAAAATTGAACATGATCAAGATAAACATTTCCTAGAATGGAGAAGGCATCTTTTAGCTGACTATGATATGAAGAATTCAAGATATATGAGAAGTACGTTGAAAGGTAGAAGCTTTAATAAATATTTTCTAGAATTAGAGTGATGCAATGTGAGGTATTGGTTAGCTTGTTAGGATTCGAAGAATTCAAGAAAATTCAGGTTGGTCTTCTTTTTATGCATTGTCAGCAAATTAAAATTTTGAACATGCTTTGTGAATATCTTGGTGACTGATTGTCCAAGGGATTTTATTAAAGACTAATAATGTCAAACTTGTATTATGCAAATTTCTTCAGATGCTTTCATTTCGATGTTAAATTACTCTATTATGGAAACCTCCAATTTATTGGTCCTGTTCCTGCCAAAGGTATAACTAAAGTACTGTTTTAATTTATTGGAGTTAACTTCTCACTAGATGTTCTAGTTAGCTAAAGATTTGATCAATATTAGAGAATCTAGCATCACTTATATATATTTAAATCTTGCTAGTTTTGATTCTTTGTTGTTAATGTAGAGGTTCCTAAATTAATTTCAGATGTTTATCTTTGCTTGACTTGAATGACTCAGAAAGTTTCCATATCGATAAATATTCCTTTATTCTTTATATCTTCTCCTTATGGCCTTGAAGCAAACAAATTCCTACAGTATCTCAATCCCTGCATTGATTAATTGTTGTTATCCATCTAGAGAGCTGCATGCTCTGGTTTGCTAGGCCAATAAGTTTTTAAGTAGAAATATGCTGTTAATTTTCTGATCCGGAGATTGGTTTATATTTCTCTTTTGTGCTTTGTGTTCTTGCTCTTCACTAACTCTTTCTCTCTCTTGCCTTCTATCACAAGCATAAAGCATACTACAGAAGCTGATTTTTTGTATTTTCTTGAATTTAGTCAATGCTCAAGCTCAGGTTCCTCAGAAAAGATTTACCATTCCAGAATCACACACGACAAGTTTCAAAAAAGAAGGCACCAGAACAGCCAAAAAATGGAGCTACTATCTCGTTTCTGAGGTATTTTTTCCAGCCGCAAGGCAAACTGTCTGGTTTTAGAAAGTTTAAATTAAAATAGTTTACAGGAAATGCCTAGTTTAAGATAACCTGAGATTTTAGGTTCTCATTTCCTGCTTTTTCCTATCTGTCATGGAATGAAATAAATTTATTTCTTTCATTTGATTGAAGCTTTTTATTTTCCCTGAATGAATGAATGAATAAGGTGGATAAATTCATCTGAACTTACTGGTAGCCTCCTTTAAACATTAACTTGGGTCTTCTTACTTGATTCCACTATAAACGAGCACTCTAAAATTGTTTAACACTTACTTTCTAATTAGAATAAATTTCTTGAAGTTGAGCTCTCTCCTCATGGATAAATGGAATGCACAGGCTAACAAATTAACTCATCTACTTACAACAGGATACGTATCTGCATCTTCATATAAGCATTTGTTACTTTTTTTTTACTCAAAATATGTACTACTAAAGGCCAAGCGTTATATTATATGACGACGATTATTATTTTGAGGGATATGTATAATGTAACTTAACTTGATAATGATTTATGAACTTCAGGGAGAGATTTGATAACCGAAGCCAAAATGACCGCATGGTCCCAGTCGTAAAGAGATCTGGAACGGTTGATATTGAATATCCCATTGATTCTCAGGATTCATGTTCTACTCTTTCTGCTGATCAATTCAGTGTTGACATCAGCCAAACCCAAGAAGTAATTTCCATTGGAGATCCAGAAAGTCTACCTCCTGAATCCACCTCACCGCAGTCTAGAATAGAAGAGCTACATTCTGGAAGCCAGACTACTGAACTCAGTAAAGTGCTCTCTATAACCGAGGAACTAACTGGAGCTCGATGTCATGACTTTGCTTCAATTGATTGTACAAGTAAAGACCTCAATGAGAGAAGCCAGACTCCCGAACTTGAGTCATTATATTCTAGAAGTGAATACCTACTTGAAGGATCCCAGAGTCCTGAAATCGGTCTGATACATTTCACAAGTGAAGATTTAGATATTGGAAGCCGGTTCCCTGAGGCTTGGGTGAGTAATCTCGATTGGCAAAGACCTATTGAATCTCCAAATGTGCACGACTGGCAAAGTGAACGTGAGGTTGTAACTGAGGAACATGAATCTTTCAGTCAGCGAGGTATTGTAAGTACTGGTCATATATGGATGGGTAACTCTTCTTCATTGTGGAGAGGCTGGGAGATCAATGACCGAGAATGTCATGATCACCCTGAGACCGTTCCTGACAACAAGGAAATTCTTGAACTTCTAAGGAGGTATTAAAATTTTCTATACTCTTTAACAGTTATTCTTATGCTTGTGCTTGCTGTATTTACTCAGATAGAAATTGTTTCACAAATTGATTATGACTTTGTAGCAGTTTATTTTCGCTCTTTATCAATGGGTAAATTTTTTTATTAAACCAACTGGCCGCGCGCCCGCGCAGACCGAAGAATCAGCGAGAAAAAAACTGCCAGCCCAAACCAAACTCCACATGTACCGCCGCCCCCCTCGCCCCAAAAAAAAAAAAAAAAAAAAAAAAAAAAACAACACGAACTCACATGCACACATCCCACCACCAACAACTTTGTTTTAGCCGCTAATTCCCAATAATTTTGCCGCTAAACCTCCAAAATTCCAAAGTATCTCAAATAAACTTTTTAACTTTTCCCACAAAGCCCCCTAACAAGTATCACTTGCAGTTGGAGGACCTTGTTATCCGTCCATTTCTTTTCTTTTCTTGTTTTCTCTGGGCCTCATTTTCCTCCTTTTGTCCTT